CCGCCGCTCAAGCGTCACTGGGCTCTTTTGGATTGCTAGCTATTGGGGGGGGGGGAAACGTGCAGAGGAGGGAGAGCTTTTACCTGAATAACACTTGGCCTTAAAGGTGCCACTGGGCTGTTTTGGACCCGGGGCATGGGGGGGCTCTGCAACTTACCTGGCTGCTTCTTGCTCTGACTGAGGGCTGCGGGGAGCAGGGGGCGGGGCTTGTTGCATGTGCCCGCCCCCTGGCCTCTTTACTGCCGGAGCTCCGCTCCTGTGCGCTCCTGCAGGAAATGGCCCCTGATTACAAATGTTGAGTGCATTTCCTTCATAAATGCTGCAACTCTGGTATGTTTTTGTATTTACGGAGGGCAGGGTTTGGGGAAGACAGGGACTTCAGCCGGGTATGAGGCCCCAGGAGTCTGCTCTCCGAAGGAGCCATTTTCACCAGGGCAACTGATCCCTGTGATCTGCAGATCGCTTGTAATTCCGGGAAATCTCCATGTCCCACTGGGAGATTGGCAACCCTCTGTAGCGATCCGTGGTGGGCCGGGGCATCTGTCTGAAGGGGTCTGTGTGCCCAGCGCCTCTCTCACGCCCTTCTGCATTTCTCGCCTCGCCTAGGGAGATCGTCAGCATGAAAGAGAAGAGCAAATACAAGTTTGCGCCGGCTGCACTGCCCCCAGAGTTCAGCTCCTTCTTCCAAGGTAAATGCCACTGCGTCGAGGGCAGTCCTTCTCTTCTTTCTGTCTCTCCCCTTTCCTCTCTCTCAGTTTCCCCTCTTGAGGACTCTCTTGAGAATAGCGGGCTGCCCCTCTCTCAGCTGGGTGTTGATCTGCTTTTCGTGATATGTAGCGGTTTCGTGATCCTCAAAAAACAGGATCACGAACCCGCGGGGAAAATCGGGCGAAATCGGGCGAAGCTGCGGGTCAAAACGCAGCCGCACGGCTTCGAGTGGGAAATTGACCAATAGAAGCGGGGCAAAGGGAGGTGTGACCGCGGCACAGCTCTTGTGTGAAATCGGTCCCCGTTTGAAAGTGGATTGAAAGTGTATTATGTAGTGTGTGTGGCCACAGTCCTGTGATCTTGGTCGCCAGTAACACATCCTTTCACTTCAGAATCTTTTCTAGCTCCTTCATGGATGCCCTTCCCAGCAAGTGTCCCCTCTAAGCTGAGTTAGTGTGAGGTAGCTCACAGTTCTTTAGCCTCTAGCTCACAGATTTTTCATCTTCGCTCAGGAAGGATGGCTCCAGAGCAAACTAATTTACGCAGTAGGCAAATCGCTCGCTCACTTTAATGCCAGGAGCTCACAAACAGTGTTCCCTCTAAGCTGAGTTAGTGTGAGCTAGCTCACAGTTCTTTAGCCTCCGGCTGACATGTTTTTGTCTCAGCTCAGGAAGGGATGTCTCCAGAGCAAACTAATTTATGCAGCAGCCAAATTGCTCGCTCACAGCATTAATGGCAGTAGCTCACAAAGTAGAATTATTG